TTTTCTTTCTCTCCTTTCTCTCCTTTTTCTCTATTTCTTAGTTTCTATCTTTGTTCTTATTTGTTTTGTATATTTTACTACATTGAAAAAATTTAATAAAAGTGTAATAATAATAATAAAAAGAAATTCCTTCAGCATGGTCCAGTTTCACATTGTATCACTTAATGGGAATTATTTGAGTGAGACAGATAATTATGATTTCTTCCCATGCCACCCTTTCTATCACCACCTAATCTACCCAATTCACAGTTGACAAAAAATAACATTATGGATTAGATAAATGGAATACATGGGTGTGATTTCTGTATTCCAGCTGATGTATATAAAAAAGCCCTAAAGCAGGGTTTCTTAATATTTTTGTGCCATGGACCCTTTTGAGATTCTGGTGAAACCTATGGATCTTTTCTCAGAAAAATATGTTTAAATTCATAAAATAAAATACATAGACATAGATTGCATTACTATTTAAATAACGAATGTTACACATGTACTCCTTTATTAATCAATTAAGGCAATAACAAGACAATGTCCTTATTAAGGTTATGATTTTAGATAGTGAGATTTTATTGAAGTTAAATGTTTTTAGAGTCTAGAGGCCATAATTTACTTTGTTGCCTACATTCATTACTGAATGAAAAGCTAAATTTGAGAGGTTTGCGAAAGTAGAGTTTAATTTTTTTTGCCATTCAAGTTGCATAGATTCTCCTGATATCAGTTCATGGACCCCAAGTTAAGGATCCTTGCTATAAATTATTTCAGCTATACTAAATTGGGTTGCCTTCTTCTCCCATTTTTAGTATCTGCTGTTTATATGGATCAAGTTACCTTGAACAACTTCAGAGTTCAGAAGAAGTTTGGAGTGCATCAACACTTGTCAGATATTCCATTGTGAGTAGTCTGTTCTCTTCTCCCTCCTTGCCTTCTCATTGGCATTTATATAGAGGGCAATTTATTGCTTTCCATGTTGTGAGCCATATCTGAACAGGCATTATGAACTGATCCATATATTTACTTTGTTTGCCTTTTTACATGGACCTAGAATGATTTCTCCCTTGATTGAGGAGCAAAGGATTAGTGTCTTCATCAGCACAGAGCATATATAACTTGCATGTTATGTAGAAAAACACTATGTATTATTTAGTAAGGATATAACACTTAGAAAATAATTTGAGGAAAGTTCTTTGGAGCTTACACAAGGTCAGCATCTCTACTATTTTGTCATTTTCCAAGTTTCTTCAGGAGCTAGAAAAAAGCTGCAGCTGCTTTAAGAGTTACACTAACTTTAATGAGTAGACTCCTTAAAGGTCAAGAAAGCCAGATGTTTTCATAATGTCTAGAGTTTATTTAAAACCACAGTAATTAAGGCTCAACTGGAATGTATTCCACATTGTAAAAAAAGGCCAGTGTGATTTTTTGATGATGTCTCAGAAGCTGTAAAAGTTCAGAAGGTCACCTTCAGGAAATTAAGTTCTATCCTAATGAAGAGAGCAAAACAAACTAGAAAAATAAAATATATGTAACAAGGAATGCAGAAAAATAAGAGAAAGTTGCCCTGTGCAATACATAGAAAATCTAATAAATAGATCTGCTATTCCAAAGATTACTACATAATTGTACATTCCACCTGAGTTTGCTCATAAGCAATATGATTTTAACATTCTGCAAGGTTCTATTTTATTATATAATTTTCTACTGCCTTTTCTTTATCATGGCAGGAGAAAAGATGTATAGCTGTGAAGAGGGTGAATTTTCTTGCTATGAATGAAAGCAGCCAAAAGAATATAACATTCCAACTTCAGTTTTGGAGTCTTTTAAAGCAGCTACATCTGTGATGACTAAAACTGAGGCTATCTCATTTCTCATGTTAAAATGTGAAAATACACCGAAACATGTGACTGCACAGGGGCATCGACGGGGTGTGTATGTGTCCAAAAAAAAAAAAAAAGCCAAAATGGTGGCTTTAATTGTGGAGTGGTGGCTGTACTTTGACTTTTTTGACCCAGCCTCCCTGGAAATGCTGTGGCTGCAGTATTTCATGGGGACTTAACATCTCTTTAGCTGAGTAAGTAACATTCTATTCTTAAATTTGTGGCTGTTCCTTAAAATTAGACAATTCTTTTAGGTAGAGTGTACCTAAAAAAGTGTACCTAGAGTGTACTTGAATACAAAATACCTTAGTGGCCAGGTGTTTTGTATTCAGAAAGCCTTAAGTTTATTCTAGCTTAAATAGTCTTGGGCAGTGCCCCAGTTCAGACAGTTGGGCTGTACGCATATTCTGTGAGAAGCAAGGCTGATAGACTCTCAAGTTAAGAGGGTTGCGAATTTGTGGTTGTTCCATGAACGCTAGCTATATTTTTGTGTGTGTAATTTGTAATTAACATTTGAAATTAACATTTTATTTTGGCAGTCTTTTATGTTGTGGAGTGTAACAAGTTCCTTTCACTGAGTTTCTCATGTAACACTTCTGGGCTCAAGGATATGTCTTAGGATATTCATTGTGGGCGTCTTATTATATTTCTCATCTGGTGGTGTTTTCTTGGATGACTTTATGGACGTTTTTCTTCTGTTATTTTTTAATCTCTTCAAGCTTTCTTTTTTTGGTTCACCAGAGCCATCTCTTTGCTTTCTACATACTTGTTTGTTTTCTTAGACTTCCTGTCTTCTGCATTTCAGTGTAGAAGTAGATCCTAATGGATCCATAGATTTATGGTCTCTTCCCTCTTCCTTCCTGACCTCAAACTGTTTTGGAAACAACTGTTCTCTTGTGGCCTGCCTGTTCCTGGTTCCTGTTATTAAGCCATATCATGAATGTCTGAAATGGGCAGATCTAGGAAGAGGGAAATGCCAGAACATTCTTGGAGGATATTTAGATGAAGAGGAAATCTCACTAAAGTCAATGTTTATTGAGGCAAAAGCTCATCCCAGCTACATAACTTTGGTCAGCATCAGCTCACTGAAAAGTTTTCTGGGTAATATTCTTCAAAAAAATCAAAACAAACAGAAAACTACTGAGCAGTGCCCTGGGCTTAGGGACGATTGGTCATGAAACTGAGACTAAAATTTCTTATTCAAGCAAGAATTAAGATCGATGCTTCTTGCCTTGGTGAAAACTGTCAGTAGGGTAGAATGGCTCAACTTGTGTTTGTGACCCTTTCCTTCACATCCCTTTACACAACCCAAAAGGTCATGTGTGCACACAGGGTGAGAATATCTTTTGCACACCTAATGCCAAATAGAAGATGTTCAAGTACAGGCTATGAATGTGTAATAATGGGTAGCTGATATTATCTTAACTGTATGTGCATATCCATTCTAATACAGTGGAACCTCGGTTCATGAACTTAATTTGTTCCGCGACTCTGGTCGCGACCCGAAGCAAATTTTCCCATAAGGTTCAATGTAATTACCG